CTCTGTCTCTGTCTCTGTCTCTGTCTCTGTCTCTGTCTCTGTCTCTGTCTCTGTCCCTGTCCCTGTCCCTGTCCCTGTCCCTGTCTCTCTCTCTCTCTCTCTCTCTCTCTCTCTCTCTCTATCTATCATCTGATGGTTAGTTGCCTAGAATTATATATTAATATTGGTGGTAACACACAGTTTTTAAATAAATAAATTAGATGCTTCTTATGTGGTTCATGATATTATCATGGAAGTAATATGATCATGTTGTGTCAATTGTACCATGCAGTGAGATACAAATACATAAATCATATGATTTCTGTTAGTTTATTAGTAGTATTTCTTAAAAAAATGAGTGTTTGATTTAAAATTGGTTATTTGTTTCTTTTTAGTTGCAAAAATCATGGAAATTTCTTTATATATAAAATCCAAATTATATTGAATCATGAACTAAAATTCTGTCATTTTAGTTTCATAAATATAAGAAACATTACCCCCTTTTCTTTTAATGTCTTTCTGTTGTCAATTTCTATTGCTTCACATTTCTTTTCCTTTTGATGACTGCATTTTCTTTTTGCCTTCTTTAAAATAAAATAGTTTATTTTATGGTGTCTTTTAGTTTCAGTGCTCCTCACCAGGAGTTCACTGACACCAGATGGTTGATAAAAAGTGATAGTACTTAGTGTAAAGCTAACACCAAATGTGTTCTTCTTTTAACCATCAGTCTGTGAGAAGAGAGGAAGAACTGATAAAAGCCAATCTGTTTGTAAATAGTATCCAAATAATAATGGAATGCAGAAGAAAAAAAAAGGGAATTTAACACAATAGATTTCTCCAAAAATTTCTTTCTGCTCTTACTATGGATCATTTCATTTACTGATCTTGTTTATTCATGCTCAAACAAGCATTGATATTAATATGGATGCATGTATATATTATAGATGTCTCTTGATTTATTGCATTGACATCATTTTGTTCAACAGCACAGTACCCTCAGTTATCTAATACTTTTTGCATTTAACTGGACATTGGTCGGTCTAATGCGGTATTTGACAGTCTTTTCTAGCCCAAGCACATTACATGACCTTGTGGAAGAGATCAAGATACTGTGCAAGTCCTATTTTTTTTTTGGGGGGGGAGGACAGAATCGGCCTAAAGGCAAAACAATTTTCTTCAGTTGGGATTATTATTAGAAAAATGTAAGTCTGTTTTCTTTGCAAGCAGACCTTTATTTTTTTATTTCTTAAAATTCTCTATTTTTTATTTTTCTCTATCTTATTTTATACTCTCTCTAATTTTCAATTTTACTTTATAGATCTCCATTCCATATATACACACTTTTTTCCCACCCTATGCAATATTTTATTTAGTTGGTCTTTGCTTTAATGTTGTCCTTCGCCTTGTTTTCTTGCTAATTGTTCACTTGAGGCATATCTTTTTTGGAAGGCTTTTACTAATATGAGGCTACCTTTCATAAATCTCAGTTAGCACCCATGTTTTGGACTATTTTTTTCTTTGGCACATAAGCCTTTCCAATGTTTGTGTGCAAGCCTTGTTTTGGAAAAGATTTAGCAGTGCTGCTCGGCTTTTCTGAAATTAACTGTCTTCTCTTGGATGTTGAGTTGCGTGAGTTCCTGAGACACAGCTGGGATTGTCTTCTGTTACCGTGTCTGGGCCTCCGTGTTGGATAAGCTGTTCTGATCTGATCAGTTGCTATCCTTGTCATTCAAAGCCTTTGGTATTTAGGTTTCATACTTTTAGATATTTTTCCTTTATTGCCATTATACTTTTTTTTCAGTCAGTTCTCCAAAATTGTGAACATGGAACCTTTCAAAAGGAATAGGAGGAGTGGAAAATGTGGACAGGAGTTATTTCCACTTATTTTATGCAGTACAAATTCTGGCTGATTTTTTTAAAAAAAATGATGTGCCATCAATTGAGGTCAATTTTTAGCACCCTGATAGATCAATTTTCTTGAAGATGAAAAAAATGCAATCTTTCAGGTATTGCATTGGTACTCTCTTTGCTAGTAATTGAAACCATCCACTTTGCTGCTAGTTATAATTTTGAAATAACTACCTCAGATGATGAAAAATGAAGGATTTCATTGATTAAAACTCGTGCAATTCTTTCACTGTATTCTTTCACTGTATTTAAAATTACCTTGAAGCAAAGATGTTAGTTAATAACATCTTGTCCTTTCTCTCTTTTTCTTATAGGTCAAGTACAAGCGAGACTTTGAAGAAAGCAAAGGAAGAGGTTTCAGCATTGTTACTGACACACCTGAATTACAAAGACTGAAAAGAACTCAGGAGCAAATCAGTAATGTATGTGACAAGGATAATGCATAAAAAAAATATTATGGAAGTGTCAGTGAGTTGGTTGATTGTTTCCAGAACTGAGTCTGTATGGCTTCAGAAATTGGATTATTAGATGCTTTGTGTTCTTGTGGTCCCAATTTTGTTTTACTTTGTAGCACATTGGTAGTGTGTGTTTTCCTCTCCAAGTAAATTAAAGGTGGAATTACCAATCAAATTTATTTAAAAATGGCAAATGAGTATATTTATGATAAGCTTCAGTACAATGCAGTCAAATATTTTCCTGTTGTGAATTAGATAAGCTAAACATTATAGAACTACTTTAGCTTTGCAGAATTATTTTATTTAATAGGAACACTGACTTGGATGGAAAGGATGGTCACTAGGGGAAGAAAAAGTTCTAAGAATTTGGCTGAGGAACTAATAGAAGACTTCTTACCGGAATATCACAATGCATTGGGATTATGATATGAATACTTTTGCATAGGGAAAATGCTGTGTGTCTTAAAGAAGTTGTGCATCAGAACACGGCTTCTGATTTGAGGATACTTCTATCATGCAATGTTCTTTTTGTTATAAGATGAAAAAAGTCTTACAGTGAGGGGGAGTGTTTTTGGATAGCAATTTTAGTTATAATCCATTGTAAATAATAATTTTTGAAGTAAGTTCACTGTGATATAATCTGCAAAATGAAAATGGTTCAAAACAGACAGGTGAAGATCCAAAGGGTTGTAGAAATTTGTAGTTTGAAAAATAGTATATTCAAACAGATGTTAGTTTCTTATTCTCTCTTATATCACTTATAACTTTTGACCAACCAAAGACAGGAAGACATTTTGATTTACTTATTTAAGGATGCGATTGGAGTAGACAAATCTGCTGAAAGTTGGTACTGGATTATGCGGAACTGCTGAAATCTATAAAATGTTTAGAGCAGTGTTTCTCAACCTTGGCGACTTTAAGTCCCGTGGACTTCAACTCCCAGAATCCCCCAGCCAGCACAGCTTTAGAGTGATATTAAAAATAGTATAGAAGTATTGTTGATAGCCTTTGGTAATACCAAGGAACAGGAGAGACAAGAAAGGAATGTACTACACAAATACAGATATAAGATTTAGGGCAGCTGTGTGATAATCCCAACTGTTATTCAGGAGATGTGGAGTGTGTTTCTCTCCTCTCTTTTCTGAAGTAATGGAGGTAAGCTTTTAGAATACTTTGAGAGGATATTAAAAATATATGTGAGGAGCAATATGGTATTAGCAACATTTAAAACTATACTACTGGATTTATTTTCAAAGGTCTTCAAAACTCTTCGTTTGGTGCATCGTACAATGATTTACAGATACTGTATTAACAATGATTAATAATTGTAAAATGTTACATTTGCACCAAAGCCTTTTGCTATTAAAAATACTGAGGAAATTTGAGAAAAGGTTACAGAATAATAATATATCAAGATGGAAGTTTGTCATTAAAAGATCAGCAAAACCTGAGTATCAGATATATAATTTTATAACTAGGAAAAGGAATGGGTCTGGAATTCAGTAGGACTGTGGTCATTTGAGGAAGAAATTCCTAGTAGCAGGATCAAAGACTTGATAGAGTTCTATTATCATCATAGTAAAAAACTCAATGTTTTGTATGGATTGCTCTAAGAATATTAAATAAATTAACTGCTTTTCCTAATGACTAGTTTTGGACATTTTAGTTAACTTTTCATAGTTGAATGAACATTTTAAATTGCCTGTGCATTTTCCAATTTGTGTAGTGTAGTTTGAAATGCTCATAAATTATTGTGTTTTCAATATTTCAGGTCAAAATATTATTATTTTTTTCCTGGAGAGTACATTGCTTTGGCTTTCAAGGAGTCTGCCTATGATGTTCATTCAAGAATACAGCAAATTACACTTTTGTTTATAATCAGAAACTATTTTTTTTCCTTGTTACTTATAAATTTTGCTATGCTGGATATAAAAATAATTCACTGTTTAGCTTTTTTTTAAAAAAAAGGTTATAATGAGCACTGAAAGTGAAAAGTAGTGTGAGAAAATGAATATAATTATATTTTAAATACAGCATGAAACCAAATCCTATGACATAATTCATTTTTAACCTCAGTAAGAGATTTTAAATTATATTAAAAACATGTAATGGTATTTTCATATAAGTGTTTTCATGACTATTTCATAATTCTGTTGGTTTGATACCATGTAGTGCTATTAGCCAAGAATCATTAAAGAAGCCAGTGGTTTGCTTAAATGTTCTGATTGGAGGAAGTAGCTGAACCAAACAGAAAATATTGTCATTCTTAACTTACTGAGGTGAGTTTTCTCCTTGACAATGTTAAAAGTTATCACAAAATGAAGTTCAGAAATTTAATATACCTGCTTTTATATACCATTTTAATATTTTAATATACCTGAAAATATTGCAGTTGCATGGACTAGTTCAGGACCCCCTTTTTACATTTCTCATTCAATGTTTTAATTGGCAAATTAACTAATTAATTAAGTCTAACCTGTATCTCTCCCTATAATACAGAGTTCTCCAACCTTTCTCAGTTGGTAGTCTGGCGTGGGGTAGGAGGTAGGAAAAGAGGATGGTTTTGTGTGAGGTGCAGGTACACACAGCTACCAGTCATGTGAGTGGGGCTGTGAGTGTCGGTACCCTCTGCCTGTGTAACTGAGGTTGCAACCACTTGTGCCTGTTGCTCAAGTGAGTGGGGCTGTGAGTACCAGTGCATGCATGTGATAGTTGCATGCACGTGGTGGCCCACCACTCACCCTGCTTGACCATACCACTAAGCCACATCCTGGTAGTGGGCCATGGCTCACAGGTAGGGGATACCTGCTCTAGTAGAATGCTGTAAAAATATTAACTGAAAAATTAATATTACAAAATATAAGTGATAGGCCTGTTCACTTGGTTACACCTGTATGTTTCAGCCATTTCTATTAATAATTCTTGAAGTATTTTTTTTAGCTAGCAGTGCCAATCAAATAACATTCATAGAGGTTTACTTTGAAAGGAAAGGAAAATGTTTGCATCTGAACAGGGACTAAAGTAAATATGGATTGCTTTCTCTGCCACTTGTCAAGGTAGTCAAAATGAAAAAAGGTTACTGTATATTACTTGCTTAAAATTTCTGTGGTCATTGATCTATTAGAATTTTTGTTCAAATCAATTTTAAAAGAAAAAAGGAAAAGAGGTGATGTTTGTAAAATATTTCTTTGCTTGTCTTTATTTGCAGACTGAATTGTTTCTGGCCTACTTATTAATTATAACCCCTCCTTTTTTTTGCTCTCTAAGGTCATAAAATATTTGAGGAACATACAGCAATGGAACAAGAGGAGACAAGAATAAAGAGGGTAAAATTATTTTTCATCAGCTACTGATTAGTTACGTTTGACTTAACCTTGGAGTTATTTATTACATGTTTATGATTCATCATCTGCCTAGTGACTAGAAAAGCATATCTGTTGGGTTAAAACATTGAAATAGAGATGAATAATATTTGATATCTTGTCATTCTACTTCAAATAGAATTTGACTGGGCCTGTTTTTGTTTGTTCATTTATTTATTAACCCAGTACTCTCTTGATTCCTGACACATTTTCGAAGCAGGACTGAATTCTTTCATCATCATGACAGTAGTCAGATTTAAGGCTGATGCAAGATGTAATGTAATACAATGTCATGTACATTAATCAACAAAAATGTAGCTAAAGAGAAAAGTGAGTTTCTTTAAAGGAGAATTGAGGCTCATAAAAATGTACTACAGCAAAATAACTTAAAATGGAAAGTTTCTGTTTTTTTGTGAAGAAATTGTATTTTTTGCAGTCTTGGTACTGAGGCATATCTATACTAACAACAAAGATGCAAGAAATCTACTCTAACCCTCAGAGATTTTCATCTGTGAAACAGAACTATCAAAAGGCCTCCTTAGTCTCTCTATTAAGCACTTTCCAGCCAGATTAGCACTCTCTTTTGTGTATTTTATGTACTCAGCTATATTCCTGTTGAAGCCTAAGATGAAGTGAAATCAAGAAAATTGATGATTTTCTTTTGAAAACCTCCCTCACTTCCTCCCTAAATTCATTTCACAGTGTAATAAGTTAATCTTTGACTTACAGTCAAATTCATTTCTATTTGTAGAGCCTCCCCCCATTTTTTGGGAGAGCTCTATATTTCTGTTAACTGGATTTCTTGAAAAATTGAGCCAGGTGTGTCAATAGTTCTGTATTCTTAAGATTAAGAATTAACTTATTCTTAATTTTTAAAATAAAAACTGATTAAAATACAAAGAGTTGCCTTAAATTGTCCTGACTCCTAATACAGCTCAGCTTCCTTCGTTTACCATCTTCCACAATTGTTGACTGTACTTCTCTTCCAGTGAATATGAAATTCACTTGTTGAACAAATTATGCTTGTGAAATGTAGACAGTATTGTGCTCAGCTAAAGCTTCTCCTGGATTTGTGGCACAGATCTAGCTCTTAGCATTATTAATATTATTTAAACTTAAGATTCAGAACTTGAATTTTGGAAATAAAATATATATTCTGTCAAAAGTTTCTTTTAAAAACATTTAGAAAAGTAGATAATTTAATGAACAAATGCTTATAAAACTTTGTGTGTTGAGTCAGTCTAGATGCTAGGTGTGGTTTTCTATCCAACATTGTCAGAATGGTTTGCTTTTGTTTTCTCCTTAGGACTAAGACTGGCCCAGAATTATCCAATGGCTTTATGCATAAAATAATAATAATAAAGCACTCTTCCATTTTCTACTCAGGTGCTGGCAGGCATAGAGCAATATACTCTTTAAAAAGATTTTCCCATTACAGTCTGGTTGATTTTTTCTGAATTTTAATTTCTTATGGAACAACTTCGCTATGTAAACATTTACCATATTTTTCGGAGTATAAGATGCACCTAGATTTTAGAGGAGGAAAACAAGGAAAAAAGTATTCTGAACCAAATGGTGTAATAATATATTATTTAATAAAATGTC